CAGGAGCGTGGGGCACTGCTGCCTCCTGCTCACAGCCTCCGTGCTGCCCCTTGGCCCCCTCCCACTGTACATCCCACGTCTCCCCAGCACCTTACTGGACGCACCCACACCGGATGGACAAGAAGCTGTATGCAGTCCCTGCGGGGAACACAGTGAAGTTCCGCTGCCCGGCCTCGGGCAGCCCCAGCCCCAGCATCCGCTGGTTCAAGAACGGGCGCGAGTTCCGGGGGGAGCACCGCATCGGGGGCATCCGGGTAGGAGCCATGTCCCTCCACCCCAGCCTCCCCTCCCAGGGTCTGGCTCCCCCATCACATCTCGCCCCCTTACCTCCCCCTCTGCAGCTCCGGCACCAGCACTGGAGCCTGGTGATGGAGAGCGTGGTGCCCTCTGACCGCGGCAACTACACCTGCCTGGTGGAGAACAGGTTCGGCAGCATCCACTACAGCTACCTCCTGGATGTACTGGGTGAGGGCTTCTCGGCATGGTGCTGGTCCTGGCTCCCCACTCCCCCCACAACTGGAAGAGGGTTCAGGGTTATGGGGAAGGGGGCAGAGAAGCCTCTGTTTGTGTCCTCTCCGCTGGCACAGCCCATGTGTCCCTTGCACCCAAAGAATGCGGGGATGGAGACCAGGCTCAAGTTGCAGTGTTCTCTCTCCATGGCTTCATGGTGGGTGGAGAGGGAGGGAGAAAGGAGCCCCCGCTCTGGGTCCCTGTGGTGACACTGCTCCGCTCTCCTCTGCGCAGAGCGGTCCCCGCACAGGCCCATCTTGCAGGCTGGGCTGCCTGCCAACACCACGGCCCTGGTGGGCAGCGATGTGGAGTTCTTCTGCAAGGTCTACAGCGATGCCCAGCCCCACATCCAGTGGCTGAAGCACATTGAGGTGAACGGCAGCAGTTACGGTCCTGATGGGGTCCCTTATGTGCAAGTGCTCAAGGTAATAAGGGCTGGAAGCAGCTGGGTCCCACACACCCACCCCAAAGTGGTGATGGGGGGTGCACAGAGCCCCCGTGAGGAGGTGGGATGCCGACCATCGATCCCTGTCCATGGCAGACTGCAGACATCAACAGCTCAGAGGTGGAGGTGCTGTACCTGCGCAACGTCTCCATGGAGGACGCTGGGGAGTACACGTGCCTGGCAGGGAACTCCATCGGCCTCTCCTACCAGTCAGCCTGGCTCACTGTGCTGCCAGGTGAGGGTGGGGGTCCTGGGATGGGAGCTGGTACCCCCACCACGCAGGGACCATGGCTCAGGCCAGCTCATTCACTCCTTCCAGAAGAGGAGCTGGTGCGGGAAGCTGAAGCCCCCGAGACCAAGTACACGGATATCATCATTTACACGTCGGGCTCGCTGGCCGTGGCCATGGCCGTCATCATCGTGGTGCTGTGCCGCATGCAGACGCAGTCCAGCAAGCAGCCCCTGGAGCCCATGGCGGTCCACAAGCTTTCCAAATTCCCGCTCATCCGACAGGTGAGTGCTGAGCTGGAGCCCTGGGGGTGGAGGGGGACCTTGGTGGCTGACTGGCTCTGTCAGTGCCACCTGTGCCTGTCACACCTAACCCTGCTGCCAGCCCTGGGTCTGTCTT